GACCCTGAGTTGACCAGGGGTTGTGCGCTGGGAGCTCCTGCTCGGTGCCGGCCGGGGGACAAGTCTTGTCATCAACAGAGTAGATGGATCTGACCTCGGGGCCGATGTGACCAAGCGCTGGTAGCGTGGTTTTACCTCACACCCACGGTCTCACAGTGTGCCGGCAGTCGCCGCGCAGTGTCGCTCACACAAGCCGCAGCACAAGTGACTGAGGGCCAGTGAGGGCGAGCCCATCGCTGTCACAGCTGTGGCAGCCGCACAGTAGGCTGTGTCAACTGTGCAGAGTGTGTGAGCAGCAGAGGAGCTGCTCTCCAGGCTTCTGTCGCAAAGAGCTGCATGCCACCGAAAGCGCTGTCGAGGTTCGCCGAGCGCGGCGAAATCCGGGGACGCCGTCACCGACGAGCGCGTTGGAGTATTCACTCCGGACAAAGACGGGGACACAGCGGACGGTGCAGGGTGTGTCCCCGTCATAGCGGCGAGGCGCGGGACCGTCTGTGGCGAAGTGGGTCGCATCCCCGGATTTCCTCAACTCACGGTCCGCTCCCTCTACGGCTGGAGCCGCGAGCAGGAGGGCCCGGCGCACAACCCCCCTCTTTTAAGTTTTATTTTGCGCTCCGGAGGGGGTACGAGTGTACACACGTTCACTCAGCTGTTCAAGAACATGGCGAGGAACTCGGCCACCTGCTGCGGGTCGCGCAGCCAGAGCTCGGCCGCCGTGCTCCGCCGGAGCGGCGCCTCGGCGCGCACGACGATCGGGATGCCGCGCCCGCCGCGCAGTTCGGCGAAGGCGTCCTCGTCGGAGACGTCGTCGCCGATGAAGATCGGCATCGCCGTCGCCTTGCGCGAGTCTGCGCCGCTCGGTAGGCCGAGCATCTCGCACATGCACTTGATGAGCCAGCCCATCGCCTTGCCCTTGTGCCAGTGGATCTGCGGCCGCACCTCGATGACGTGGATGCCCGCCGTGCGCGTCAGCAGCGGCTGCTCCTCGAGCAGCCCGTTCACCACCGCGTCGACGGCGGGCAGGTCGGCGGCGGACACGTTGCGCGTGTGCACGCTCGCCACGAACTTGTTGTCCTCGATCTGCACCCCGGGGATGGGGGCGAGCTTGGCGTGCAGCACCTCGAGCGCGCGCCGGACCTCGGGCAGGAGCTGCGCCGCCACCGTGTAGTTGAGCTGCGAGCCGTTCGGGCCGCGGATCTCGAAGCCGTGCGACCCCGCGTAGTAGACGCCGGGCACGTCCACCCACGCCTGCTCATAGTTGTGGACTAGTGACCACTGATCACTCGTGAGCAGCAGGCGCTGTACGCCCCGCCCCGCCTGCAGCTTCTCGACGGCGCGGCCCGAGACGATGGCGGTCGGGTGGCGGTCCGAGAGCTGCTGCAGCAGCGCGGCAACGCCGTCGGGGAGGCGCGCGGCGGCGGGGTTTGTCACGATCGGGGCGAGGGTGCCGTCGTAGTCGAGGCAGAAGGCGGGCGTCAGGCAGCGCTTGAGGCGCGACTGGATGCGCAGCAGCTGCGCGCGCTCCATCGCGTTCGGCAGCCGCGGCTCAGCTGCCTCGTCCGCCGCGCCGCCCGCCGCCAGCGCAACCTCGTCGCCGCCGCCGCCCGAGGCGAGCCGCGAGAGGAGGGCCTGCTCACAGCCTGAGCGTGAAGAGGCGCCGTTCACAGCTGGCGGCCGAGGCGAGCCGCGGGAGGAGGGCCGTCACGTCGGCCTGCGAGGTGTAGTAGCGCGCCTGCCCGCACCGGTCGCCACGCGTCTAAGAATCGCGAGAAGAATCA